AGCTATTTGCTCGTTCCAAAGTGCAAGAAACTCCATGGTTACTCTTTTTATATCAGTTTCACATACAGATTCCTTATGAGAACGCTGATGATGTTAATGGCACTGTAAGTGGTCACCACTGTAAGCTCTCTACGGTATTGACCTACCGACAAAGTTTAAAGTAACATAAATGGCACACTAACTAACGTTTTTGCCTTTGGAAATGGAGTTTCGTGGTCGTTCTTTTCCAATATTAATTATGAACTGAATCTGCTTGCCATTAAATCCAGATGAGATGAATGTGTCCTGACCGATTTCGGCCACAGCGACTTGACTCTGCCTGATGTGCTGGATTATAAAAATTTCGATAGGTAGAGTCAAGAGATTAGATTTTACAGACTAAACGACGGACAGGCTGACGGACAATTCATCCTTTCGTTTCAAAGTGCCCTTATAAGGACTAATTCAAACAAAAGCTATTATTTTGAAGTTGAAACTGTTAGGACTTGGAAAATAAGGGAAATATAAATATTTGGTAGCTGATCTTTTGCCGTTGATTGTCGCTTAAAGTGAACTAAAACCAAAATTTAGCTTAGAATTTTGTAAAATAAAACCTCATAATCGGTTTAACTATAGATATATTACATTTATATGGAATTTCGATACTCATTCAAAAGATATACACATAAATAATAAACGTCCACGGTCCAAGTGAAATCGACCTACAGTTCAATAAAGAACGCATTGCAATTCGAAAATATTTCTTACGAATACTTTTTTTTGCTATTCTATTTCTGCAACTGTTTTATACAGCCTATAACCTCTATATAGTAAAGAATAAGGCTCAAAATAGCAAAAACATTTCCCATTGTTGTCATAATTTAATAACAAATAGTCATAAAGCACAATAAAAGTTATGAAATTGTAATCCTTTTGTTGGAAAACGGAACAAGGCTCAAGTTTCGTGTTGAATAAAAAAACATAATGTTTTTGAGTCGTTTTACAGGTGGCAAAGCAACTCATTGGCCAATAAGGTAATAGGTATGTTTTTTTATTTTTTACCAATAGAAACTAAAGCGATCAGCGCCATCTGTGAACACGTAAGTACATCACCCGAGGTATTAAGAGATTTTGTAAACGGCCCTCTAATCTTTGTTCTAAGGTTTAAATGTCGTAATGGGCACTAAAGTAAAGTAAAGTAATCTTTATTGTGTTGGTTACAATTAGTGTTATACATAATATAATGATATACAGTACAACAATTAGCCCGTTTGGGCATACAATAATCAAGGCCCATTTGGGCAGTGTATACATCAGTAGATAGGCTGCGCGACGTCGCCGCGTCCGCGCACGCTGCTCATGGGGAAGAACCCCTCTGTGGTTCGAAACTAGTAGAGCTTTTCTCAATATTTACACGTGAGTAACCCGCGAATTTTAGTTAATTTAGTGTATACATCATTTTTATTTCGCACTACCTATAACCATTAATAGGACTAGCGCTGCTCCGTGGTATCACAATTAGTGCGTTGTCAACTCGATTTCTTTCACACTTACTTACTGAACTCAAAATAGAATTCGAAATAGTTCAGTGGAGAATTTGCATGTAATATAAAGAGAAGGCCCAAGAGTGAACTAATGGGTCGTTTATGTTGCTGATGAAGAAACTCACCTTACCCTATTAGGAACTTAGGTATATGTGTCGAAATCTTCAAAAGTACCTAACAACAGCAAAATGTTGCTAAACCGATTTAAACCAATATTATTTTATTATAACTTTCGTGAGACATTCTAAATTATTTATTATGTTTTCGGCTTACTCACGTAATAATTTGACGAGATACTCGACTAGTTTCAAGCCATGCTAGAGGCCCATATTCATGAGCAGCATTCCGCGACACGCGACTCGGCGACTGTCGCGCTCAGTAGCAGCGCGACAGACTAGGCTTGAAACTAGTCGAGTATCTCGTCAAATTATTACGTGAGTAAGCCGAAAACATAATAAATATTATTTTAGTTGAGTTTGCTATCGTCAGGAGACGATTCATTGAAAAATACCAAAATTTTTGAAAAGTATTGTGGAAATTTTGGGATTCAGCAACTCTTTTCATGACGTAGGTAGCTTTTCCTTGACAAGACACAAAACCGTTTACTTAAGCACCGTGCGAAGCAGGGCGATTAGTTCATAAAATTAATATAGGTAGATAAAAAAGAGATTGTACGATTTGGCAATAGGAACCACAGATAATAACATCCTTAACACGACTCTGCCTAGATATGGTCGCATCTTGTCAAACAAAAATATAACTTTGATTAATTTAGCAATACTATAATTATTGCTTACCATATTTAGCAGGCTCACCTTTGCAAAATAAAACCTTTTTGGAAGTTTTATTTTTATTTATATTGACCTCTGCAGTAATCCTTGTATGTACCTACGTATGAGTATCTTTGTAGGTACCTACTGATTTGGTTGGGATTTCATAGCCCTGTAGGCCTACCATGACGTGTTAAAGCGTCTTCTCTTCTTCTTATCTTCAGGGCGAGAAAGAGGGATGGATCTATACAAGGTATATGTATACATAGCTCCATAGCGCCTCTGATCTAACAATTGGGTCTCCAGTAACCTCACAAACATAGCAGAACACAACGCTGTGGTTGTTTCACGCCGGTTGTCGGTAAGGCCGTGGCCTTACTGCCGTCACTTCGGTCGCGCCGAACGATTTGTGCCAAGCAACGCTCGGCTCTCCAAAAGTTAGAAGTAGTAGTTGTGTGTAGCGTAGTGTAGGTAGTGTTCTATTTTATGTGGTTATGTAGGTTTTTTTTTTGTGAGGGGAAAATCATCAAATGACTTCTCCCGCCCAGGGCCGGGCAGGAGGGAGTGTCAGACTCTTACTGACTAAAAATCTCCCTGTTCCTTCTCCTGCTCTGTGCCGAGGTCGCGGTACCTCATTGCGCTTACCCCGCAACCCCGGCTGAACATCAGCCCTTTAGGGCCCCGTCTGTATGTGGTTATGTAGGTAGGTACAAGATTATGATCTAAGAGGTCTATAAACATTACTAACCTTCCAGTAAGTAGTAGTTTTAGTTAGGTTTGTAATTTACTTATTCCAGATTCACAATCGATATCTAGTAATTGCCAGACATTAGACAAACAAAGATAATAATACCATTAAAATCACAAATCTATGCCGTAACTTGGGGTGTTGCACAAAAATAAATTCTAACTGTAAGAAATAAGATTGTAATTCCTGTAACTGGTGGTGGTTTACCGGAACAAAAGCAGTAATAATCCATTGGAGTCAAACCTATAGCTACGGGTATCCTAGTATACTTTCACTGGTCCCAATCTCGTCTCAACAGAGGCCCCTAGCATTTCCTTAGACATAAGTAAGTCACGATCTTACTAATTCTATACTAAATACGTAATACGGTAGTTCCGAAGTAGGTAGTCAAATACAATACTTTTATTGAAATGTCAAAAACACATATCTTTGGTCAAGAATGAACAAGGCCGCGGTGAACCCGCAACCCCGGCAGAAATGCTCTACTAGTATCAAGTCGCTACGGGACTCTTACAGGTAGCTTCATCATGAGCAGCGTGCGCGTCTGAGTCTGAAACTAGTAGAGATTTTCTCAGTTAACTCACGTTGGTAAGTCATTATTTTCAATCCACTTATGATCATACCTTAATGATTAATTGTATTGAAAAGTCAAAATAATTATGACGTAGGAAATTACCAAATCAAGTAGCAAAATCATTTTGAGACTTCTTTTGAACTATTGCTCGAAACCTCACCTTACTGCTTCTATAATACGATTTGTTTTTATAGACCCAGTTGACTTTTCTTGTGTAAACTTAGTAAATGTCAGAAGATGGCGCTGATATCCTATTATAAGTCTTCCGTCTGCTATTTCCTCGCTCTCCCCACCACCACTTATTAATAAAAATGTGTATAATATCAGTGTTAAGCTGCACAACTAAATACAGTAGGTAACGAGGTAACGAGTAACCTGCGAATCCTGATAACAAAATCATAGCAATGAAAATCAATAATGAAATATTGCTTTTAGATATCACGATTTTATTAAGTTTATGTTTGTGAGAGCCATGCTTCGACACGAAAGGATTGTAGTGATACCACGACCTCACAGAAAACTGACGTAAAATAATCACGTGTTTAAACTGTGCCAGTGGGGTTAACGAATGCCAATCCTTCTCTACCCTTGCCAATCCCTAATTCACTAAAAGGCTAGCAATGCACTCGTTACTCATTTTGGGGATACGCCGAGTTTAAAAAAATAATCGTCAGGTAGAAAGTAGTACTCTCTGATAAACTAGGCGATCTTTAACATTCACTAGAGGAGATTTTAATGGAGTAGTAAAAAAGAGGACTTGAATATTATAAGTACGAGAAAAAAAACAACTGCATATGTATAATACCATATATATTATTTACAAATTTTACATAATTTTCAATAATTGAATTCACATTGATATTAATACAGATAAAAAGCAATTAAATAACTTAAATTTTTTTGGATTACCCAAAAACATACAATATTTGTGACATCCTTACTACATTAATTTAAATTAAATAAATTATTATTATTATATATGTAATCTCAACTATATTTTTAGAACTGTTTCGAATCTATTCTAATATTATAAAGCTGAAGAGTTTGTTTGTTTGTTTGTTTGAATGTGTTGTATATAATCAACTAGCTACTGTCCCTTGGTTTCACCAACTGCTCAGCTTCGAAATACCACAAAAAGAATAATTCGATTTAAACCAGTAATTCTGGAGATTAGTGTGTTCCAACAAACAAACTCAACAGCTTTATAATATTAGTATAGATAATTATTTGTTGACTTTTATAGGTCTTGTTGTAAAAGACTTGACTATTTTTTAACTAAATAAAAATTTGTGTTTGGAACTCCTTGCTCATATCATTTCACAAAATCAAAAGCAGGTAATATGCTCACTTTTGCTAAAAACAAATACTTTTTTATCTACACTTTATCACCTTTGCATAGCTTTAACTTTTTCTCCAATCTCAGTGAGCATTTGAGCTGATTTCTGTATATTTTCGAACTGGTAACCCATGTGGACTGCTATTAGTTGCATCTTTTTTAAGTTCTCTTCACTTGTCTCCATCTGGTGTTCAGTTGACGCCATATCTCTTGCTGCTTTTGATAGAAGCTGTAAAATATAATGTTATGTAAAACTTTTAAAACTACTGACATCATCTTTGGATAGAGCTAATTTTCTTAATTTTCAAATTACATTACAATTAGTTACATGGGACTCTTCATTTAACAGAAAAAGAGTGATGTTTTTTGTAATATGTCTATGCAACTGAGGTCTCCATTGAATATGTATACCTCAGACCTCTGCCTAAAAGATCTGAAAAGTTTTCATCTGTATATCGTTATTTAGTCAGTTTACCTCATTCGACTTCGATCCTCTTTGTATTTGGCGAGCTAGGGACGAAATATTGTTCATATTAACTTGAACCCTTTCAGCTAAACGCTGTTTTGATTCGGCAAACAATGATCTAGCACTACTTGATGACGCCGAAGTCATTGCGTGGCGCCTATTAATTTCACGGTAAATATATTTTAATACTAATCAGTAGAACATAAAAAGAAACACTCCCTTATTTATTTACAAATCGATCGGAAAGCAAACATGAAAAGATAAACGTAAACGTCAACAAAATTGACAATGACATCCGTGACATCTGACATGACACTTCTTTTCGAAGCGTTCAAAAATATGAGGGCGACTTATCTAAGAAGCTTGACGACTGCATTGGGGCATTGGGCGAGACAGGACGAGAACATCTAATTTCCGTACATGCCAAACTTGTTAACAAAATATCGTATATTAATGTATTACTTTTAGCTAATTAGTAATAAAATCGAGGCCACAACTATTAACTTGGGTGAATTCTGGGCGGTAGCTAGTTGGCTTATTTATTTTTCATACTAATGTAACATGTTAATGCGTTCTTCTGTATTTAGTATTTTTATTACAAACATTACAAACTTTTTTCGGTATACTCATAGCATGAATAGACACTTCTGTAACTGAAGGCACAAAAAGTAATCATCATAGGGAAAGTTGCAACTGCAAGAATATCAACATTGAACAACGAGAAATATTTTCTGTTTACAACACTGCAACAAAATAGCTATTGAAAAATTGATTATTTTGACTAAAGTGGCAACTTTTTCATTCTCGGCAAAACTTTATTTCACTCACTCAGCATGTCGACATTGAAATCGACTATGTTGCACTCTTTCTAACTTTCGTAAATAAATGAGAAAAGACTACCGGAATCGAACGAAACATTCGAAATCTGTACGAATTACGATTGAATGAAACCAAATAGAGGGCTGACTTTTCGCTCGTCACGGAAGGTTTTGTGTTGTAGGAAATTTCTGTAATCTAATTCAATTATTAGCCCTTTTCTCGAAATGTTTCCCTTTAAATTAAACCATTTGTTTCTGTTGCCTCCTGCTGTGTTTTCCTTTTTGTTCTGTTTCACTGTAGTATAGAATATGTCTTTTATTTACAAGCCTATTGTGAATCAGTATATTTGTCTTCATATTTACGTTTATAACTAGTGTTTTCCTGAAAATGGATAAAGGAGTGACATGTGACCATCTAAATAAATTAGCTGATGTTCTCGAGAAGGAGCTGTGGCAGTCGAAAGAGGTAAATTTTAATAATTTTCATAGTACCTAACCTCAAATGTAATGTCATAGGTAATTAGCATTCTTGGTTTAGTCTAGTTATATTGTGTAATGCTCATACCACTAAGTACCGCTCGGAATAACGCGCAAACTGTTCGTAATGTTTGTATATTAACAATTACTTCTCATTGAACAATTCCAGTTGTTAATGTTTACTAATCATTTTTCTTTTTATCCAGTTCTAAAATGCAATTTGTTATTTAAATTCACTGTAAACATCCTTATTTAAATGAAGAAAAAACTAAAGAGTAATCAGGAAATATTTTACATAAGCTGGCCATCAATACACTTATGCTTGAGCACTTTGGCACCAACACATTCATAATTGTTCATTTGAAACTTGTAATGTTTGTCTTATATTCCTTTTACTTCAGTCTGTTATCTAACCACAGTAAATATAAACTGCATATCATGCCTTGATAATTATTCAAGTGAGACTAATAGAATTTTAATTGCAATCAGATCTAGTTCAAGTACTTATTTAATACTAAACATTGCAAACCTTTGTTTTATTGTATGCAGTTATGATGGTAACATCACGAAGAACACATTTGAAAAAAAGGTCAGACTGAAAAAAAAATATGTTACTGGCACACACCACAGATAATGTAATCTATTATCTATTTTTTAAATTCTTCAGATACCTTCCTGAAACTTAGTTAACTTTTTGTGATTTTTGTTCTGCTCTTCTAAGAATAAAATAAATCTAAAGCAGTCCTTTAAAATAGTTTATTTAAGTTGTTTGTTTGTATTGTGCTTATTCATTGACAGTATAATTCACAAAATCCAAGGTATACTAAAATATTGTTATCATTCTAATGGAAATAAAATAAGTCTATAAATTGGTCCTTTCTGGTTCATATAGGATCACGCATATTTGTCATTTGTTTATTTAAAATTTCAAAACTGAATTAGAATTGAACAATTGAATTAAATTTAAAAATTTAACAATTTACAAGTGTGTGACATGATTATTGGCCTAACAGCCATTCACTTGTACAGTAGGACCTACGTATCTTGGCAAGGCTGAAGTTAGCCATTTGTCTGCGCAATGGATCTTTTAGGAACAAAGTAGTGTGCTGCGCTGCTAATCAGCTAACTTCAGACTCGCCAAGATATGTTGGTGGTATTCTAATATGAGGGAATTGCATGAAACCGCTAGAAAACTCTAGCATTGTATAAAACAACATTCCAGTACACACATATGGGTTCCATTATGAATGCAATATCAAAATTTGATAGACCTAACTTGTTTTTTTTAATGTTGTAGTAAAGCAATTTACTTACATACAATTCAAGTTTGCAAATACCTAACACTGAATCACTTTTTTTACCATAGTTTTTACCCAGAATCTTTTCGAACAAACATAATCTTAAGATAATTTATAAAATTAAAACTAAATATTTTCCCTAACATTTAAACATAATCTTGTTTACAGTAGTGTCATAAAATAATATTCTCTTCTGTGTGTTAAATCTGTAAACAGGAACCATAATACCCCAAATGAAATGGGCAATAAAACTTACATTTTATGTTCAAAAAGGAAGCAATTGAGTAGTTTAGAATTTAACTTTTTTTGTAAAAGTTTTTTGATAATATGAGTACTATCATGTGTTTAGCTGTCTTTTACTTATTTAATAGCATCCTAAATATCTTTAACCTAATCGTAAATCGTAATTCTACGCACAGTAAAAGAACATTAGATTGATGTGTTAGTGTTCAATAGAGGTTTCATGAAACAGATTGTATGAAGCTTAAAAACATGTTATTTAGGTGTTACTTTTTAAAGAACTATTCGGACTGTATCGGACAAACCTTTGTAAATGAAAAATACAAAAGAAAATAAAATATTTATAACACTGATGCAAATTTAAATAAAATTTCATTATGCAATCTTCCAGATAGCATAGATTATCAGTTTATCACTAAATCTGTTTTATATGTGTACTGTCAACATGTAACTGATATTGTTTTGATAAAAAGTAAATTACGAGTTAGAATTTATGATTGGATGAATAATATTTTGATACTGGTTGTTGCACATTAGTAACTTTGTTTTATACTGCACTGCATATTTGACTGCACCGTTGGCGCTGTAGCTGGGCAACTGGCTACCGCGCAACGTGTCGCGGGTTCGATTCCCGCACTGAACAACTCTTTGTGTGATCCACAAATTGTTGTACCGGGTCTGGGTGTGATGTGTATATGGAATTGTATGTTTGCAAACGCACCCACGACACAAGAGAAAATCCTAGTGTGAGGCAATGTTTCTTATAAAAAATAGAAAAAAAAATGAGAAATTATAATTGTAGGTAAAACTACTCTCAGAGTTATTGGTGCAAGCGCGATAATGTACCGTGCCCCTGCCCCTAGAAAAAATGGGGTTGTAGTTTTAGTTAGTAAGAGTTTGACACTGTCTCTCTTCCACTCACAGTTTAGAGAGAGAGGAAGAAATTAGATTCAATGGTTTGGGCACAATTCCTGAGTCTATTCTTAGCTTACCTTTCAATCAACTTCTCATCACACCTTTCAATATTTCGAGACACTATAGAGGAAAAATGAGCGTGTGAAAGCCGGCGTTCGCTTGGGCTTTAATGGATTAAGCTACGTAATTGCTTTGGCTGCGCTAGGCAACCAGCTACTGTGTCGTCGCTGATTCGATTCCCGCATAGAACAGCTCTTCATGTGATCCATAATGTGTATGTTTGTAAACGCAAAATCGACACAGGGGACAATCGTGGATGGGGATAGGGGATTTGCTTTTTAAGGAAAATAAAATTGTGATAATATCCAAATAACATTTGCTGCATTATTTGTTTCAGAATTTGACATGTTTCGACTGCGGCTGCCCTGGCCCCAATCTCTGGATATGCTTGCAGCCTGAATGTCATCACATCGGCTGCTCTGAAGTTAAAAATGACCACAGCACTCTACACCAGAAGGTATGTATTGAAAACATTTTTGTATATAAGTCTAAGTATAGACTTCACCATAGGGGGAAGGCAGGTAACAGCAAAATGCTCATTAAAATTTATTAGTAACCTCGGGCGGGTTCACCCGCTGCTCGGCTCCATTTAATCGTAGCGTGATGTTTTATAGCCTATATGTAGGGGTAATCTTTGGAACCGCTCGTTGGGCGGATTCCCAAAATTCTCTCACTGATAGATAGGTACAATGTTCCCAAGTGCTATAGGCTATAAAATATCACGCTAGAATGAAATAGAGCCAAGCAGCGAGTGAAACCGCGCAGGTGTAGCTATTAATAAATAAAAAAAGATAATTGAAAGAAAAACTCGCAACAACAACAGAAACTCATATTCATACAAATTTCAAATTATAACTTTTGACAATGAAGTGTAGGGAAGGAGGAGGGGGAGCTATGCTTCGGCAGGAATTGGGCCGGCCTCACTGAAAACCGACGTGAAACAACCATGTTACCGGAGGCCCAATCCTTTCCCTCCCCCTATCCTAAAATCTCCTAATCCCTTATCCCCTAACTCTCCTAATCCGTTATCTCCTAACTCTGTTGTTGCGGGTGTGCATGGGCGGCGCTGATTGCTTACCATCAAGTAATCCGTCTGCTCGTTTGCCGACCTATCTCATAAAAAACATCTCAATTCGACTAATTAGACTTAGAAAAGTGAGACTACCATTAAATCAAATCCAGAAACAAGAAAAGTAACTAAATTTTTTTTCGTTTGAAACATGACCTCTCAATTACCTTGCTTTTGTGTGAGTGGCTGAATTTACGAAAATAAAAAGCCCATATCCATCAGAAACAAGAATTGGTTCAACATTATATTATCATCTGACACACAGTTTCTTCATTCAGAATTGAGTTATTCAACCTGTACTGTAGTATCCCGGGTCCAAATTACAAATAATGTAAACAACTGCTCAACATAATGTTATATTATTCA